GCACTTTAGATTTGAACGAAATCCGGTTTTCGGCACTCCTGATTTCGGAAGGAAGAGCGTTCCAAAGAAGAACAGATTGAACAAAGAACGATGATTGTACAAAGTTAGTACTAAAAGGGGGGCACTGAAGCAAAAGGTTATTACTAGAACGGATAACTCTATCATGATTGGAGCTAAGATATTGAAAATGAGGAGTTAAATAAGATGGAGTATTAGGAGATATCAAGATAGAGTAGAGAGTAGTGAGTGCACGTAGACTACGGCGCTGACGAATGGGTAACCAGTTAAGTTGAGAGCGATAAGTAGACACATGATCATACTTTCGAAGATTAAAAATGAATCAAATGCAGTTATTAAAAACATGGTCGTATTTGTTCAAGAGTTCTGCATTCAGGTCAAAATAACACACATCACCATAGTCAATCCAAAAAGCCAGGTCTGCACAATAATCGTCTTGGTCCTGGATGGGAGAAAGTTCTTCAGGCGGTAGAGAGAACGCAAAATACCTGTCACTTTCTGACAAACATTTGCCACTTGAGTTTGCCAGCTCAAGGTGGAGTCAATGTGCAATCCAAGGTCTTTCACATTATTATTACTCAGTTCTAAAATAAAACCGTTAAAAATGATCGGCGGTAAAGCTGTGGGATCAAGTTTCTTTATCATCCGTTGGCTACCTATTATTATAGCCTGACATTTGGATGGGTTAACTTTAAGACCAAACTTGTCAGACCAGTTCTTTATATACTCTAGGTCCCTATTAAGAGACTCAGTTGCTGTAGATATACAGTCAACCTTCGAGTGTGAGTACAACTGCAAGTCATCAGCATACAAATGATACGCACACTGAAGATTTGGGGTAATGAGATTTATAAATGTTGAAAATAACAACGGAGATAGAATACCGCCTTGAGGAACACCAGCATGCAAGTTACACCAACTTAACGCTCGTCAATGCGAACTGACTGCTGGCGGCCTCGAATATAAGATGAAAACCACTCCAAAGACTCAGATGAGATCATTGAAAGTGAAAGGAATGATAATAGGATGTCGTGACTGATGGCATTGAAGGCGTTAGAGAAGTAAACCAAAACCAGTACTGTGACTTTATTTTCCTCCTTGCTTGCCCTAATGTCACCAGTGACTTTGAGGAGCGCGGAAAGAGTGCTATGACCTGGCCTGAAACCAGACTGTAATGAGCTTAATAGGTTATTCGAGAAGATAAAATGTGATAGCTGTTTGTGTAAACAAGCCTCTAGCACCTTTGATAAAAAGGGAAGAATGGATATAGGTCGGAAGTGATTAGGTAAAAAAGGATTAGAAATTTTTGGCAGAGGTATAATGTAAGCTTTACGCCACAGCAACGGAAAAACTCCAGAATCCAGAGAGAAATTAATTATATGGAAATTAGCAAGAAGGAGATGGTCTATAATATTAATAATCATACGGCGACTGATATTGTCACAACCAATAGCATTAGTCTTAATGGAGAGTATAACCTTCCTGATCTCATTCGTCGCTATTGGAGAGAAGCGGAAAGGAGCGATATTAGGACGAGATAAACCCATTAACTGATTAACAGTTTGACACTTGGTTTCGTGATCCAGAGATGTATGTGAAGAGAAGTGTTGATTGATATCATCTCCCATGGTTCCAAGGAACTTCAAGATATCTGCGGGGGTAGAGGATATGATGTTGTTAAGAATATATCGGCGTTTCGCGTTGCGTATCATCTGATTACACCGATTTCTTTCAGTTTTAAAAATGAACCAATTTTCCTCACACCGCACTTTTCTATATTTCTGAAAGGCTCAGTCTCTACGCCTTATCACAACGCGGATCTCTGTTGTCATCCAAGGTGCTGGCAGCCGCTTTAGCTTTACTTTTTTAATAGGAGCATGCATATTATATAGATTAATTAATATGTTATTAAATGCGCTAACCTTTTCGTCTACCGTGGGAGCGGCTATTTTATACGTGGTATATTCATACTGCGGCTATTCTATGGTTTTAGCCCGACAGGGCTGGCTCGAACGGGTAAAGGCCACGCCCTTACGGAATACTTACGTAAAATAGCTGGTATTAAACCGCTGTGTTTCTTATGGTTAGTGTAGAAAAATGGAGTTTTTTTTTATAGGAAAGGATGACAAACGAGCACACAGTCCACCCGATGGTAAGTGGTTGCTGTGGCCCATAGACATCAACATCAAAATGCAAATACGTTGACATCCGTGAGGACTCAGATGGAACGCCTCGTTTCCAGTAAAAAGAGTCTCCGGTTCTCTACACTCACCATACGAAACACAGCAGCATTAAGCTACTATTTTACGCTGGTATTCTGTGAGAGCGTGGTCCTTCCCCAGTCGGGCCGACCCATTCGTGCTACAACTATACTAGTAATATAACAGCAGCATGGCTCTACCACGTAGATAAATATATTTTTATTGCTATAATAATAAACTAGCGTTCTCTAAATCTCAATTCATATAGGGAACCATTATCATTACAGAATAAATGAGTGAATAATTAATTCTTCAAACACAACACAACGGAGAGCTTGGGAGACAATGAATGTTCGGGACGTCCAAAAACTGCAACTACTGACGACAACATCGCTAAAATTTACCAAATGGTGCTAGACGACCGCCGAATTAAAATGAGAGAGATAGCAGAGCAGAGGCTATGAAAATGTCCGAAGAATGTGTTTGTCACATATTAAATCAAGATTTAGGCATTAGAAAGCTTTCAGCGTGTTGGGTGCCGCGTTTGCGCATATTACCAACCCCTTGTTAGCGCAGTTTATACTGTGTATATGTGATATTATAATAAATCCTGGTTTTGGCGCCGATTAATTACTGTAAATGAAACTTGGATACACCATAATACGCCCACAAAAATACAGCCAAAACACTGCACTACAATCGACGAACCGGTTCCAAAAAATAACAAAAATTGTTTTTTTTTTGGCTGAGAATGTGATGGCGACTGTTTATTGATTGTCATGGAAGTTATCTTAATCGATTATCTTCAAAAAAAAACCTCTTTCACCATGACAACGTGCCGTCTCACACCTCAGCAGTTGCCATGGCGAAAACTCACGAGTTACGGTTTAAAATGCTTGATGATATCATAATAAATCCAGGTTTTGGCGCCGATTAATTACTGTAAATGAAACTTGGATACACCATAATACGCCCACAAAAATACAGCCAAAACACTGCACTACAATCGACGAACCGGTTCCAAAAAATAACAAAAATTGTTTTTTTTTTGGCTGGAGATTAATCGATTATCTTCAAAAAAAAAAACCTCTTTCACCATGACAACGTGCCGTCTCACACCTCAGCAGTTGCCATGGCGAAAACTCACGAGTTACGGTTAAAAATGCTTGACCATACGCCTTACTTATCTGATCTAGCCCCAAGCGACTACTTTTTGTTCCCTCATCTCAGAAAGAGATTTTGGTCAAATGAGTTGTTGAAATTAAAAAACATCCTAATTTCAATAGCCTCACGTATCATCCTTGGTAGGAATCGGTGTTCTTTCGCGAGGATTTGTGGTCTATCAAATCTGATGTAATGGTTGGGGCCGTCTAGACAAAGTAACTGCATTTTTAGAACATCTTAATTCCATAAACGCTAAAATTCAATTTACTATGGAGTTAGAGGCAAATAATTCCTTACCTTTCCTAGATGTGTTAGTCATCCGAAATCCTAATAACACCATTGGTCACACTGTGTATAGGAAAAAGACCCATACAAACCGATATTTAAACGGTGAATCTCACCACCATCCTTCACAGTTAGCTACCGTGGGCAAATCTTTGTTACAGAAAGCACGAGGGATCTGTGACAGCAAACACCTGGCCGCCGAGCTTCAGCACGTCAAGCAAGTTCTGCACGACAACAAGCTTCGGGTCCCGCGCCTACGTCACAGTGACCGAGTGAAGCCGGCCACAGTCGAGCGTGTGCCTGCTGTACTACCATATGTCAGAGGTGTCACAGACAAGATTGGCTATATCTTGAAGCGAGCTTCTATTAGAACATTCTACAAGCCGCCGAAGAAGATTAGTCAGTTCCTACCATCCGTCAAGTGTCATATTCCTCTACAAGATGCAGGAGTGTACAAGCTTGATTGTGAATGTGGTCTCTCTTATATAGGACAAACCAAAAGATCAATTAGGACCCGCGTAAAAGAACATATAGCTGATGTGAAGCATCAACGTTCCGGGAAGTCTGCAGTTTGTGATCATATCCTAGACGGCCCCAACCATTACATCAGATTTGATAGACCATAAATCCTCGCGAAAGAACACCGATTCCTACCAAGGATGATACGTGAGGCTATTGAAATTAAAAAACATCCTAATTTCAATAGAGAAGGAGGCTGGGTACTACCACCTGCTTGGGATCCTATAATCAATAAAATTAAAACTAAACCCAAGCATACCACTGCAAGACCTCAGGACATAGTCAGTTCATTTTGCATAGATCGGACCATAAACAATAATTAAAAAAAGCTGAATGTTCTCCGGGTTTAACAATGACATCGGGACGTCAGTCATCTCAGTCCCCCCGTGACCATGGGTGCTGGAAAGCGCCCGAAACGTCGGGAATTAAAAATAAAAAGTAAAAATAAACGCGATAAAATCCGTAAAAGTAGTTTTAGTATTATCAAGTTCTGAATGATAACAACAATTTCATCAACTGTTTATAAGGATACGTAGCCCAATAGTAAGTTCAGAGCGGTAATACCGGGAAGTCGGAGGTTCAAATCTAACACTTTAAAAAAATTTATAGTCTTTTTTCATTTCTTATAAAATGGCATCAAGGGTATAAAAATATTATGCAACAAATGTGATAAGGAAATACATCATAAGGAATTTCTTAAATGTTATGTATGCAAATACATTTATAAAATTGAATGCTTAAGTATAACATCCAAACGCTTCTATCTAATGTCTAAAGAACGTAAACTTAAATGGAAGTACCAAACTTGCTTAGGACAGAATACAGATGTTACAGAAGCTAAAACCCCACAAAAACTAAGCAATGTGACAAAATCATGTTCATTAAAAAAAACTTTGCGTACTGATGAAAACATAACACAGAGAAAGCCAAGAGTGGGTAAACACATTTCAATTGAAGATTTATCAAGTAATGAGATCTTAGAAAACTCCACATTCTTAGACGATATTTCACAAAGTTTACCTAATTTGACAACCACGGAAAGCTCCCTGATTAATGATCTAAGGAATGAAATACATGCGCTTTCTACACAACTATCTAGCGCACACAACGAAAAAGATTTATTAAATTTGGAAATCACAAAACGTCAAAAAGAAAATTACTGAACAGCAAAAGAAGCTCGATATATACAAAAAACTTTTTGTCAAATGGAGAAATATCTTCACGAAGGTCAACACCGTTGAAGTTAGATAAAATTACACCGATAAAATTAGATAAAATTATATCCAAATCACAGGATACGAATAGTAAAACCAATTCGATCACAGGAAAAGACCTAAAACTGCAAGAAACTTGCATAGAAAAAAAGAAAGATGTATGCAATACATCCATTAAAACACTTATGTCCCCTTCACCTTTAGCAACATATACGGAGGCAAAACCTCATAATAAAAAGAATACGATCACAATTCTTGGGGATGAAAATACGTCGGGTTTATCTTCAGCTTTATACAAATCAAGAGAAGGAAAATGGAATAATAAGTATATGCCATTAGCTATAATAAAACCAAACGCTTCTTCATGTGATATTTTAGTGCATTGCAACTAACTTGAAGATACAGTAACATTAAGTGACTATGTTATATTGTGTGTTGGGAGCCGTGACAAAAATCCGTATAAATTATATTCTAATCTTAGCGTTGCTTTGTATAAACTCCGCAAAACTAATGTTTATTTATTACCTGTACTAAGTAATTTGTATTTAAATGAAAAAATGATAAATAATATGTATAAAATATTGACTCAAAATCACAAAAATTGTAGGCTTATTGACATTGATTACAAATACTGCAATATAAATTCAAAAACCGATTACATAAATTACCTGTGTTATTCTATTAACATGTCTATAGATAGTCACGAGTATGATAAACAATTTATAGTGCAGAAAAGTAGGCTAAATAACTTGGCTGAAAAAATTGTAGATAAAACTTCGTTATTAAACGAACCAAAGAAGGGAACGATACCTTATTATTTCAAAAAACAACTTATAAAAAATCAAAAAGTTCATGAAGTTCTTAATTATAAGAAGGGTACCATCGAATATTTCTTCGAAAAAATGAAAATGAAGAATTTGAAGTCAACGGACGGGCCTTTGCAAACTTGTAACGTTAATATAAATAATCCTGTAGCGAACCGCTGCATAGGTTCCTCATCAAGTAATAAAAAAATGCTTTTTCGATAAAAACCAGCCTAATCAGAAACTACTTCTTTTATATCAAAATATTGCTGGAGTTTTAAATAAACAAGATTTGATTGCAGTAAGTTTAAATCAACTAGCTTATAGTAACAAATATATTCAAATCATTTGCTTCACTGAGACCTTTATTAAAGGTGGCGAAGACCCTAATCTTAAGCTGCCAGGTTTTCGGCTGGCATCATTCTACTCCAGACCAAAAGAAAGACGTGGCGGAGTATGCATAGTTGTAAGGAAAGACATAAATTATAATGATTTAATGGTAACGAAAGAATATGAAATGACAAAACATTTTGAATGTTGCGGAATTGAAATTGGTAATTTTAATCTTATAATATTATGCATATATCGAACACCTAATTCAGACATATACATATTTTTCGAAAAATTAAATAAATTATTATTAAAATTATCAAGAGGAAATAAAAAACGAATAATCATAGCAGGAGATTTAAATATAGACACTATAAAGGTTAGTAATTACTCTAAGAAGCTTAAAGATTTATTACTAAATTTTAACTTAACTCAGCACATAACCTCCCCAACCAGAATTAATTCATGTATTGATCACTTAATAAGCAATGTTACTGAAGCAAAAGGTTCTATACATTATTTGGGCCTCTCTGACCACACGGGACAAGTACTGGAGCTTCCTATGAAAATCAGTAAAACAGTAAAATACTGGTTTGAGGTAAAAAGGGACTTTGCGAAAGATAATATAGAAAAGTTCTTGGAATGTATACAATCAATATCTTTTTCTAAAATCTATACCGAACAAGACACCAACAAAGCATTTTCAAGCTTTTATAATATTTACAAACTGTTCTTCGACTTGTGTTTCCCAACCAAATTAATTAAGATTTCGTTAAGAAATAATAAAAGTTATTGGCTTACAAGAGGCATAAAAATCTTGCGTAGTAAAAAAGAAAGCTATACTGTAAATATCTGCTTACAGCGGCAAATAAAAGTCTAAATAAATCTAGATATATAAGTTATGCTAAAATTCTTAGGAAATGTATTTTAAAGGCACAAAAAAATTCAAAATGAAAAATATATATTAGCATCAAATAATAAAGGTAAAGTAATATGGAATGTCATAAGAACAAATATAACTAATAGACTAACTAATAAAGAAATAGATACCATAAATTACAGTGGAAGAACCCTGGTAGAAGGATATGACATTGCAAATGGGTTTAATAATTTTTTTATAGATTCGACAAATAAAGACAAACCAAATATGTCAAATAATTGTATGTGTAAACAATTCCGTCACTCAACTATATTCTTACGACCTACGACTCCTGATGAAGTTAATCAAATTATATTATCTCTTCGAAACACTAAGTCGGTTGGGTATGATGAGTTACCGACAAAAATATTAAAACTAAGTTCTTTAAATATACCAATGCTTAGTCATATCATAAACTTATCTTTTACCCAAGGAATTTTTCCTGCAGATCTCAAGTATTCAGTTTTAAAACCCATCTTCAAAAAGGGCGATACTAAAGATATTAATAATTACAGACCTGTTGCAATGGTGCCCATTTTGTCAAAGGTTTTTGAAAAAGCAATACTTAAGAGACTTAACGATTTTATGGAAAAATTTTACATTATTAATAACGCACAAAATGGTTATGTAAAAAAGAAGTCCACAACATTAGCGACCTTTCAACTCGTTAAGCTTATTACAGAATGCGTCAATGACGGTGTATCGGTGGTAGCTCTTTTTTTGGATATGAGTAAAGCATTTGACTTTGTTCATCATGGCATACTTCTCAAAAAACTCGAAAGATACGGAATACGTGGGAAAGCAAATGAATGGTTTAAAAGTTACCTCGGTCAAAGACAGCAATGCACTGAAATAACAATGCTCAAAAACCTTAAAAAGGTGCACATTCGGTCGGAATATCGGTTGAACAAATATGGTGTACCACAAGGAAGTATTCTGGGTCCTATACTCTTCCTAATATATATTAATGAGCTACCAACAATAACTCCTCATAAAACGATTCTTTTCGCTGATGATGCAACAATCATTCTTAAATGCACGAATAAAAAGATTTTTGAACTTGATATCAATAGTACACTAAAACATATAATCGATTGGTTAAATTGTAACAATATGACTGTAAATATAAATAAAACTAAAATAATGCAATTTCATACAATTAGAAGTAAGCAAATTAATTTAAATATAATGTACAATGAAAAAGTGCTACAAGAAGTTGATTATTATAAATTTCTTGGTATCACTATTGGCGATAATTGTAATTGGAAAAGGCATGTTCAATCGATATGTGACAAATTAAACAGATTTGTATTTGCACTTCGCCGACTTCGAGAAATAGCATCTGCCAAAGCAGCCTTAAACGCCTATCATGGCTATGTTTCATCGATATTGCAGTACGGACTTCTAATATGGGGCAACTGTTCTGAAATAGAACGCGTATTTAAAATCCAAAAAAAAAATGCATTCGAGCAATCTGTGGAGCACATTCCATGACATCGTGCAAACCATTATTTAAAGAAATAAAAGTGCTGCCACTCGCATGTATGTATATAAAACAAGCGGCGATTTTTGTCAAACAATTCCCTGAATACTTCCCAAGTAATAACTTTTTAAGAGATAGAAGTTTAAGAGAAAAATCTAATAACAGAATATACTTTCCAAAATGTAAATTGATGCTCTTCCAAAAAAATTCATATAAAATGGCGATTAAAATCTTTAACTCTACCCGACAAGTTTAAAAATTTCCCAGTGACAAAGTTAAAAAACCAACTTCATGAATGGCTTTTACTTAATTGTTTCTATACTGTTAATGAGTATCTTGATCACAAAAATCAAAATAAATTACATATTTAAAAACTGTGTCCAAAAATGCTTGAATTTTTTTTGCTTTGGACTTTGATAGTTATAGAATAATTATTAGTTAGTTAATTTTACTGTTTTTACATATGAAAATTTTGATATTTGTAAACAAGTTAAATTCATCGAAAAAAATTGTCAAAATTTGCACGCCTCGTCAAGGCAGAATGGAACTTTCATGATTTAATAATACTATTGTAATATCTACCTACATTCTATGCAAATAAATAATTATGAATTATGAATCGCTGGGAGAAGCGTGTAGAGTTACAAGGAGTTACTTACTACACTTACTAGTAAGAAATATAAAATGTATTTATTTTCGGATGACTAGATTTAAAATCATCGTCATCATTGGTCATCACAAGTCCATTACTGAACATAGGCCTCCCCCAAGAAATTCTTAATGGAAGAACGATTCTGAGCCAACTCCATCCATCTGTTAACTGAATCGCTTACTAGGTCGTCCTTCCATCCAGTGGGCGCTCTGCACTTCCATTAACGGTACGAGGGTACCACTCGGAAACATTTTTGGCTTGGTATAGATTTTTTTTATTTTTACTTAGTTAAATAAATAATAAACTCTTTAAATTCTGTAATATTATGGATGGAACAGTTTGTGCAGTGAAATATTAAACAACAATCAAAGTTTTTTCATTTTAGCTGGATTACAAAGCTTAGACGCAAACTTTGATATCATTTTTCCGTCGAAACCCTTTATTTGTCAAAATATGGAATGATAAATATGGAATGTTTGTTTTAAATACAATTCCTTGAACTTTTTAATTTATCAAGCTATCCTTTTTTGTTATAAAGCTGCAGAAAGCCTCCACCACTTATAAAACTACTGTCATGTTTTCATGAACAAATTGCAAATATTCCAATAGCAAATATAACATACTATTACATGTGTAATAGAGTTTATTTATACACTAAAATAGCCTCACAACCGAGCTGCGAAAATTACAGTGTGTAATTTCGTACTCAAACAGCCCGTTGCCTTTGTGCAACTGTATATTGTGTTATTTACAGTTTTATAT